TTGCCACTCCACTGCTGTCAAACTTTCAGACCCAGGGGAGCACTGTAGGCTAGCTAGTCCACTAGATTAAATGTGCAGGGCTGATCAAGGTGGTATGAGGCTGATCAGGACAGTGCAGGGTGGCACATGGCAGCGTGGGGCAGTAGGGAGCAGTGCTGGGTGGCAGGGAACTGAGCAAGGTAGCACAGGGAGTCAAGGGGGAGATCTAGATTGACAGGGAGCAAAGCAGGGTGGCACAGGGCCCAGTCCAGCTTGCTGACCAGCCCTATGCCACTTATTTGACTCACGTGGCCAAAAGATTGAACAGCAGTGATCTAGAGATGTTGTGGAATCTCCATCACTGGGAGTAGTTAACTGCAAATTAGACAAATCCTTGTCTGGGATGAAGATGACCAGGATGATACTGCCTTGAACAGGATATTGGTTTAGTTGACTGAGATCCCTCCCAGCCCTATTTTTCTAAGGCTCTACAATTTACAGGTGTTTGTCTGCTTGAAGATATCAGAATAGGAAGCAGTGCAAGAAGTAACTAACATTTCCTATAAACTTAATCCTCCAGTGGGCATTAAATACCTTGTTGATAATCATGTGAAAACTTGCCAAAACACTGGTAAGCGGCGTTTTTCCATGGACATACCATATCTACTCAGTGCCGAGACGAGTCTTTTTTCCTTATTCAACATGGGGAGACATAGCCTTGTCTTAGAACTGAACATCAAATGAAAATGCAGGCGGCAGGACCTTGCAGGCAAGTGAGAGGGATCCTTCTCAGAGACAGGGGATGGTGTGGAGGCACCTGGCAGCATGGCATGCCTTTTTGCCAGGGCCTTTGCTATGCTGGACCCATGTGTCAGTGAGAGACCTGGAGCAGAGGCATCCTGCACAGTGCCTCCTGTTTAAGCTGTGCCACTGGGTAGAAAGAACCCAGAATTAATGAGATAAAGGAGAGAGAAGAAGCCTAGCAGGTGAGGTACTCATCTGTGTTGCAGTCCTGGAAGCAGGGCTTGGTTATGTGCTTTATAATAGACACGGAAACAATTCTGAGAACAGGGACAAAAACCCTGGGCTCCTCTCATCTCCCTGCTCCAGGTGAATACTAAGCTAGAGTTGCATCCATGTAGCCCAATCCCTGTTTGAGTCGGAAAATCTGAACAGGTAAGATTTTGGATCATCCAAAATAGCCTCTCACCCCTGCAGGTGGTCAGTTATGTTGGAAAGAAGTCAGGTGGACGGTAGGATAAGGTGGCTCCTCAGAGACCAACCAGTTGGTCTCTGAACCAGTTAGCTTCGAAGATGTCACCTTGCCCACTGCACCTGGGAAACTGCACCTCAAACTGTTCAGAGCAAAACTTGTGTCACTTGTGAGCATGAAGGCACAGAGAAAGCTCAGTTCAAACAATGCTTTTTATGCTGTTTTTCCACCCTTCATCCAGAGCATTGGGATTGGAAGGGACCTCAGGGAAGGATCACGGTCACTGGCCAGCTACACACATCTATAACAGAGCAGTCCTTCCTTGCTGTCTCCTTAGTTTCTCTTTATGTGCAAGCAAGCCCAGCTTCGAAACTCAAAATGTTTCGACTGCCCTCATTTTGTTTCGAGGTTGTTTTGAAACCTTTTGTTTTGATTTTGCTGTTCCGAGCTTGAAACAAGTTGAAACAGTGTCAAAACGAAACAGCCAGCAAAATTTCGCACAGCCCTACAGAATAGACTTCTTATACACTCAGCTGTTTAATATTTCTTTTCCTTGTAAAACATCTGAGATTTCTTTAACACAAAAATCTTGTTTATGAAAGAATACACCCACACACAGTATTTTTATTGAGATGTTTATTTTTGTCTTCAATGTTTGTAGGAAATGTTATTTCACTACAAAAAGTGTCTCAGAGAAACTCCATTCAAACTCTTGTCTTAAGAATGAAGGAAAAAATATACTTTCAGCTGTACCAGTCCTGAGTAAAGGGATTTTTTCCACTTATTACAAGAGATAAGAAGCAGCCCCAATAAAATTGGAGAGCTTTCTATCATTATCTGTTCATGCTTCTCTTCCTGCTTGTCAACTGGTGAAATCTAGGTGGGCAGAATATTAGAATGGAGACATTTAATTAAAAGTCACAGTTTTACACTTTCAAAAAAAATTCTGCAGGTTCTTTAGAGTACAAGATCTCAGTATTACTTTTTATCAAATAATCAGGACCACTAACACAAGACATTAGGGTGCAAAATCACTGAATCAGGAGAAATATTTATTGAACAATCAATATTAATTCCTGGGGGAGAAAATTACCTTTTCCTTGGAGGCCTTCTGCCCCTACCCAACTACTATTACTTGTATCTGATCTTACCACATTAAAACAGTCATGGCTGCAAACATAAAACTTAAATGGCTTATACTTTTTTGTTCTTCCAATGAGAGGGAGTCATAGTGCAGGCTTTCAACCAATGATAATACTCAATACTTTAGAGTTAGCTTGTCCAAAATGTTACAGTTCAGTCTAGACAAGGTCGTTTCTTCAAAGAAGCCAAAACAGAAAAGGCACTTATTCACTTGTAGGGGGACTGGAGAAAACCTGATGGCTGGAATTTTCCAGAAAGAAATAAGCCCTTTTTCTGACACAGAAATCTTTAAATTTTAATGTCTACTCTTAGATAAACACAGATCCTACAGATCAATCCCACCTCTGCTTCTTTACCTTGAGGGAAACATTCCTTCTGGTGAGGCAATCGAGATGTTAGAGGGCTCATGTGGAAACCCTTAGAAATGACTTCTAGGTAGTTGCATCCACTTCCATGGAATACTGGTAAGCTATCAGAGTTGTTATAAGAAACGGTCACCTCCAAAGTAATTTCCTTTCATAAACTGGAAACTTCAACAACCTGCTGGATTCACTTTTTCTGATCAGGTACCTGTATTGGGAGTTCAATACAAGTTTCCTATGGGTTATAACCAGACATTATGGCTTTTACCCATGGTATAGATGTTTCAGCTTTCTTTCAATGGATCATTGCCTCAGTGATGCTCTGGATAAGGCACTTACTGATGGCATAACTAAAGAGAGCATCTAAATACCAACAGCATCATCAGAACCAGGTTCCACTTGTTTATAGGATGCTGCTAAGCATAAATAATGCTTCAAGATTAACTGGTTAATGTTTGGAATACCCACTTATTTTGAAACTATTATCCCACAAAACTGTCAGCCCAGAAACATCACCAAATCTAACTGGAGTTTTGAATGCTTCAGTAAGCAACCTTCCAATAGGAAAACTTATCAGTTTTCCAGAAAGTCTACCAACAGATTCTCTCAGATTAGGTGATACCTAGAGTATACAAGAGGAGTCACAGGAGTTTCTCTCTCTCCTGTTATCCTACCTAATCCAGCTGCCACCACTCCTGACAATACACACACACATGCACACACACTACTTCTCTAGTCAAAACTTAAATATGTAGGATGGAAATGGCTAAAACTGCCTGGGATCTGTACCTAAAAGACTATATTTACTTTAATTAATATCTAGTACAAAAAGTTCACCAAAAACAGCTATTTTTTAGGTCAGAAGTCACTGAATTAATTTAAGATTTCAACACAAAGCAGCAGATTGATTAAGTAAAGTAGAAGTGAGGAATCGCCTAGTTGGGCCCAGGAAGGAATTATCAGAGACAAGGACAAAGAATTTATGGGGCATGTCTACACAAGACATTTACTACACGGTTGACTAATTAGCTGCACAGTAAACATTGCACATCTACGCATATGCCCCTAATAGGCCATAGTAAACTAAATTTACTCTACAGCAGGATCGCACTTGTAAACACAAGTATGATTCTGCTGTAGTTTTTTGTTTTGTTTTGTTCATTAAACTCTGCAGTAGAATGTGTAGACACTGCCCCGGCTGGCTGGGGCAGGAGGGCACTTCAGTGCAGGGGCTGCTTACTGGCTAGCCCTGCACTGAAGCACCTTCCTGCCCCAGCCAGCCCTACCACAGCACATTGAGCCAGGGGAGCAGCCCCAGGCTGGCCTGCCAGCTGGGGCTGCTCCAACCCAGCTCAACACGCTGCACGTGAATAAGCTCTGGAGCTTAAATGACATACCCAGGAGCAATAAGCTCTGGAGCTTTTTTAATGCACATTAACAGTACATGTAGATCCACCCATGAAGAAGCCATATCTGACATGGAAAACTTTCCAGACATCATTCAGAATGGTTTGCAAAATAATTATACACCCAATGAAATAATCAGGCAGTAGGTTTAAAACAAAGAAAAGGAAGCACTCCACTCCCCCACCCAACCATTTTTTTAAACACACTGCATAATTAATTTGTAGAACTTGTTGCCACTCATTTAAAAGGGGGTAAGAAAGGTGTATGATGAATGGTTCCCTCAGAGATTATTGAAACAAAAAGTCCGGAATATAACCTTAGGCTCTGGACATCCCCAGAACTATGACTAGTTGTCACTGAGAATGCATGTTGGGACACAACACTTCATCCATGACCTATTGCTCATGCCCTAAAGCATCCACTACCTGCCAGCATCAAATGCAGCATAATGGGTCAGATGGACACCTGGTCTGATCCAATACAGCAGTTCTCATTTTTCCTAATGGTCTCTTCCATTCTTCAATCTGACAAAAATACCAGTGGTAAAATTTTGCATACATCTTGGAGATGTCATACCACCCCAATACCTTGATGGGGACACTACACTCTAATTTTCTGTTCTGCTTTACACCTACTATTGACCGCGTATCTTTATCTTTCTGTTGCAGAAAGCCTGCAAGGGCACATCATCATCAGCATTTAAAAAGCATCCCACCCCTTCCCGTAGGAGGAAAAGTTTCCTTTAACTGACATTAACTAGACCTTTTCAGGGGCATGGATCCAATAGCCAGAGTGGGTAATTTGCACTCAAAATGCCAGAGAGCTCACTGGGTGCAAGTAGAAAGGAATATTTGCCAAGATTTTTTTTCCTGTACATCAACTGTTAGGTATTCAAGAGAACTATTTGGAGGGAATCTGTAATAAACAAGCACTGTTTTCTGAGAACCCTGGGTATTGCTCAAAGGTTCAAGAATAGCAGGAATCAAATTTATCACTAGCATAACAGGGCATAATTATGTCAAATGAACTGCTCCCCCCCTCCCCGTACTTGAAGGGTGAATTTGGCCACAGAGTAAAACAGGACATTCTGGAACTTGTTGCCTTCACAAACAATCAACAATACCCAATTAACACTACACTACATTTTATTTAAAATGACTATAGCTCAATGGATTTGTGAGTGAAGACCAACTTGGTAGCATCATTTCTTGTCTAGAGAACTGTATCTTCAGGGACCAGGACCTGGGATCAGGGCCTGCATTTGAAACAATTCGATTTATTCTCTGCACAGGAAGAAGAACCAAACAGATTTTCCCATTTTCAAGGAAACCATTTACCTATTGAATCAGAACATTATCTACAGCCACTTCCTTTACTTAGGTAACCCATACCACTACCAGGTGGCTCTCCATCCCCCTTGCTCATGACTTGACCACAGCCTCCTACACCTGTTGACTTAACCAAACTGATAGTTTGCAGAATCTAAAACCAGAACCTGTGAATTTAAGAGCATGAGTTTGTACTCCTTGAGCCAAGGAGCAGCTCCATTAGCGTAAAGGCCATATTAGACCAAAACTTTTATGGAGACCTACTTATACAGTAATCAAGCCACTAAAGGGTGGAACCAAACCAAAATATTGTATTTACTTGCATATCACACATCAAAAAATGAGGCCTCCAAAACTGGGGTATGTGTGTTTAAGCAGGGAAGCTGATTTCTGTGCCAGAATTGAAACACAGGGATGCTGTAATGGTTGCTGGTGCTGTCTTTCCCAGCTAGGGAAGGGGGAATGAAGCATACTGTTCAGCATCATAGTTAATTTTATCCCTTTCAGAGTCACTGCTGAGTTGTTAGCAATTTTTAGCTGAGCAAGTTTTTTTTCTTTATTGTGCCTATTCAAAACAAGGTGCGTTACAAGGATATATAGCACGTTAGCATTGTCTAAGGCCAGAGGTTTTCTACCACTGGGATGTGAAGGGTTGGCTGCCAGGTTGTGGCACAAGCCCCCTGCTCGGACCCCCATCTGTCTCCCCAGGTGAGCAGCTTCTGGAGCAGCTGGAGAATGGGGCAGCCCTTGGGGGGGAGGCAGCCGGCTCAGTGCACCTCATCCCACTCCAGTTCTAGTCCATAGGTTGCGAACCACTGGTCTAGGCTTACTTCATCCATTAACCCAGCTCCACTGCTTTTCTGGGCTGAACACCTAAGGATAATTCTGCTTATTTATATCAAACACCCAACCATAAACAATATACTTTCTTGGTTTTCTTCTTAATAACCTCACTCCGTTTTATACTGCCTTTTGCTTAGAACACCATTTTCACAAGGTCAAGCTTAAAGGGAGCCATTTTCAAGAAATATATTAGCCAAAATTTTCAGAGGGTCTAAATCTAAAGTCCTCCTCTCCCCCTCTGCTGTCTTGTGTTCGATGCTGTTTTCATTACTAAGAGTCACACTACATTCCCTAAACAGGCTTACCATTTTAGGGAATTATCCTTTCAGGATTGTTATTGAAATATTCTTGGCAGGTGGGTCTTCATGTTTGCCCCAAAAGGGAGGAGACAGGAGTGTTAAATTACAAAACACCTGTCTTTAGCAAACAGAAAATGGCATAAGCAACTATTTTGATAACATAATTTTCAGTAACATTTTACTTTTAGGCTAGAAAGTCTTCTTGCCCCTTGTTCACCTCTCTTTACATTCATTTCATCCAGACATTACCTTCATAAATCATGTTGCCAATTCTTACAACTGTCCCTTATGGTAAGATTCTTGGGAATAACTTCACTAAATTATTTCCTAAAAGGAGTGTGGATATGATGGAAGAAATCTGTTGAGTAAGTTTGTTACCTTGTGCTGTCTTTTGCTACAGAAGTGAGCGACAATGGCAAAGAGTTCTTGCACAAATATACGTCTCTGTAATCCAGCAGTGCTGGAGATGAAGCAATGTTATTTTGTGAAAGTAAAATTTTATTTCAGTTTTGTTTTTACTTTTTATTACTGGAGGCGTTGTAGTATTATTAAGGCACAGACCTAGCAGTCAGGAACCCTGGGTTTTGCTCACAGATTTTTAACAATCTTCCTGTGTGACTCCATGGGCAAGTTATTTCAGTTGTAAACCTTCCTTCCCATCTACAAAATAGTGGTGCTACCATTTACTCAATTCATACACTTACATGGGAGACTTAAATAAAATGATCGTAAAGTACTTGTTTATTATTAAGTTGCAAAGTTATTTCTTACCTTAAATCTTAGTTTTACCTAGTTACTATTCATTAAAACAATGGGTGAGAGCTTTGTTATGTATTTTTTAGAACTGAGTTTGGCTTAAGTTTCTGTTTTTATCTTCAGCTTGATTACCTTTTCCCCCTCCTTGAAATATTTGTAAAGCAAGAGAAAACAGAGTGAGATGTTCTAAGGATTGATGGATTCTACTACTTTAGTTTTGCTAGCAGTAGAATGTATATCCCTTCAAATGAGACTGATGCAACTGAAATCAGATCAAAATTACAGGTAAGAATTGATGCCCAATCTTTTAAAGCTCTTCCAACTTTTTAAATGATATTTACAACAACCTCAAATCCTAACACTTTGTTACAAGGAGTTGCTGGTTAAATAAGCCTAACATTGGACTGGTCCACTTGCCAAGAACAGCATTAGCATTTTAATGCATCTTATTTCCTGAGCTAGGACAGATCAAGCCCACTACAAATATGGTACACGCAGTTGCCAGAGGAAAGGTTAATTTAATCTCTCTACTATGACTTCTGCTAGTTGAAAGGGAATTAATTTCAGCCCACCTCTCTAGTAGACAATAGAAGGAACTAAAGGCATTAAACACAGACAGATAAATAGCTTAGATACAGAGAAAAAGCAGGATTTTCATGGAGGTACACATTAAGACACAGTTCCACAACTGGTTCAATCCTGTATTACACAAGCACAGCCAGCTGCATAATTACGGAAGAACTTCAGTCTTTTGAGATGAGGAGAAGAAGAATTAAAACTATAAGGGACAGAATCACACAACTGTGTGACATTCGGAAGACATGTCCTGGTGCCACAGAAGGGTGGTAGAAAAAAAGGGAATTAAACTATTCACATGGCTAGATAAAATTCACTGTCTGTGATCACAATAGAAAAAAAAATCTAAAGTGCAGTATAACCCATAATCTCAAAAATTGCTTGGACTATATAATCTATGCCATACAACATCAAGTAGCTAGAGAAACATATACAGTAGGTTAACATTTTAGACAATAATCTGGATAGTTTCAAGACTAGTCACCATATCAAAACTTTAAAAAAATTAAGCTTTTGAATATACCCTTTTCCCTTAGCATTTCTCATAGACTTAACATTTTACATTGCAGAATTTGACATATTACAAAGTACAGATTTTGATTGCTTCCATTTTGCAGACTTAGTAATTCAGAAGGAAAAATCACAGCCTACTATTGTATATTTCAGCATTTCCTTATGCCAGCTATAATTAGTGGCAAAGACAGGATGACAAAACATTGAATTATTGTACACTTTTACAGCAAATTAACTGCATCTCATTCTCCCTCTCCCCCCCACCTTTTTTTAAACACTGGACAATCAATGCACAAAGGAACTTATTTACATGGAACACCATCACATTCATCTTTGTTGATCATCTCATGTAAACACCCAAAATGTATGGCTGATGAAGAATGGTGTATACTTAGAAGGTAACGGATGATGATCAGTCACTATGCAGAGTGTAGTAAAAGGAGAATAACTAACAAAATAAGTTATAATGGTAGGTTTTCACTTTCTACAACAGAATAAAGATGTAACAAACATTTTTGTGTACTTGCAGAGTTAGAAAAAGGACCTGGTTTAGAAGAATTTTTTTTTAGAAAGTACAAAGGTGAGGCTTGTTAAAGAGTTGAGTAACTTGAGTCTGGTTGCCTTATTTTACCATTTTTTTTCCTACACAGCTAACAGCACCATCACACCACTTTAAGCTGTAGAAGAGCAAAACAATTCTAATTGTTGTATGCATCAGTAGTAATGGCAAGCTAAATATTATTTGTTTTTTCTGCCTTCATACTACAGCTTGATGTTCAGATTCTACCTGGAGTACGTAGTACTGACAGTTAACAACAAATCATGCAATTTCACAAATGGAGAATATTTGATTTAAATATTTTCAATTAATAGAAACAAGGTTCCTAAAGTGTGTGCGGGAGGGGGCTGGGGGTTGGGTTTTTTTGTTTTGTTTGTTTGTTTGTTTACAATCACTTGTTCCATTTCAACCACATATTAAACTGGCTCTTAAAGATGCTAAGGATTGCTTTCCTTACTAATGATATTATAGCAATGACTGCTTATTTATACAAATGGAAAGACCTGCTGCTGCCAGACCTACGTCTATCCATAATAAGTTTAATGGTAACAAGGGTTTGATTTAGTGAATTATTGGTGCTTCCTTACCATTTTATGCTTGCAAAAATACTGAAATGTGTTAACATTTCACACGCATATCATATTAAGGACATTGCACTAATTCACTACCATTATACTTATAAACTCCAAAGATTAGGTTTCCCTGTAATTCATTAACTCAAGACACTCTGCACATAGTGCCACCTAAAATATATTGTAAGAAAATAAAACTGAGAAATATGTATGCCAATTCTTGCAATGGAAAATACATAATGTTGACACCCAGTCTACCCCCAACCTAAAAACATTTATGAAACTCAAAATTCAATGTTTAAAGAGATATTTAAATCTGAGAAGAAAACCGAAATGAAGAAATGTACTGTTTAGTAAGATAAAGTATAATACATTTTAACTAGGTCAGTAGTTATTCATTTGAAATAGCCTATAATTAACATTGGATTTTTAAAAGCTTAACAGCAACACCAAGGAATGAGGTATGTAAGTTTTTAGATATCACATCAGACTTTCATTTTATGCAACTAACTGTATTTCACAACTAGCATCTTACAAAATAGACAGTACCATTGTGCCTGTAGAAGTACTGCATTAAAAACAGAAAAATACATTACTACAAGAAACCACCAAACATCACAATTGTCAGGGGCTACAAAAATCCATTACTTTTGCTGTTATGAGATGTTTTAAATGTAGGTAATATTTTAGGGCTGGATTTACTACCAAAAATTCTATCCAACTTTCATACTGGCCCAAAATATTTTGAACAAGAGAAAGATAGGAGAGAATCAAGAAAGTGGGCTTCCTTACTACAGAAACCAAATGGATTTTTGTATTGAATCTGAACTTATTTTTTAAATCTATATATGGACCTTTGTGCATCAAAAACATTTATTGGTTGTAAACAAAAATGCAAAATCTGTATTCATAAAAATATTTTATTGGTAATTTTACATAATACCAGATGGGATTGTAAATATTTTTGCTCTATATTGGTATATTGCTAAATGCATAAATTTTGACAGTTTATGCCAGAAAATAGGGTTATTTTTTTCTTATGATCGATGCAATAATATTAAATATAGGGCCAAATCAAGATCTAGTAAATTAAACATAAAGCAATGGCATTATTTGTTATTTTCTTACTCAAGTGCACTATTCAATATTTCTGTTCTGAACTGAAAATTGACTATGACACTGTGCAAGTTCGTGTCAAGGGATGACTACTGAGCACATATGAGAACTGCACTTTTAAGTTATTTTTAAAGCTTTTTCAAAACTTCAGATTTTAAAATTAACTTCAGTCTTTTTTGCCAAATGCTTATGTAGAAATTCAATATGTTCATTATAAAACAAAGAATACCAGTGTAAAATGACAATGTAGTACTGTATCTGAATTATAAAGCTAAACAATCAATGCTTCAAATATGTTTACTATTTTACTTGTAAACATTACAGTAAGTGTCTTAAGTGTGAGGATTGGTAAAACCAGCAACATAATTCAGTAACAGTAATCTAGTAAAATGTGTCAAACATTGGCAAAAATTCATACAAATGTTTTATTTAATAACCATTTTCCTATTTAACCACACCAAGTACCAGCAGGTGTTTTAAGAAGATAATCATTATGAAAATTCTGTTGCAGCAATAGTTGATTAAGTTGATCTTTGACTTGCATACATATAACTATGGTTCACAATTCTCAAATACATATTTAGGCAGCTTGAACTATGTTATAAAAATTTAAATTCAGTACATGCCAATAGTAGAGAATCCAAAAACTGTGTTAGAATTCACTAAACTAAAAGTGAAAATGAACTTACCAATAACACTGCATAATGAACATTCAAACCACATTTTCATGGCACCTTTAAATGTGAAAATCAAAAAGTTAGTCTGAAATGCTGCATATAAATGCAGCATATATATCTTTTAAATTATTTTATTCTCCAGCTTCACTTCATTTTTGTAAAACTGCATAAATTATTCCAATAAACATATTAATTGTGCCTGGGTAACCTGTCATGAAAATGTGGTAATTGTTGGCAGAAGTTGTATATTTGCATGTTTTGAAGAGAAGAGACTAAAGAAACTGGAGAAAATAAATTTTAATGAGATTCTCCATTCAATGATGAGGCTTCTCCTCTGGGTGAAGACGACCTGGACATTCCCCTCTCTGTATTGTCAGAGCTAGAACCACTCTGACTATGCTGATCCGCAGAAGCAGCACTGGAAGCAGGTGGTGACTTAGTTTTCTCCTTAAAGTCTGTAATAATGACTGTCAGATCTCCAACGGTAACTTCCAAATGCTGGGCACTACTTCGATCCACGTTTTTCAATCTTGGCCTAAAAAAATAAGAATACACCATGTAGCTAAGAATGCAATACTGAAAAGTATTGTAAGTTTTTCATAAAAAAATCCTCACTGAAATTCATGAAGAGAAGTTATAGGCAAAACTAATTTCACCTCTTCATATTTGCATAAACAAGGCCCACAGAACTGTAAGACCATGAAGTTATATCCAACATTCTGAGGTTTTATTTAAGAGTTGCTAGTTTTTGTGGCTGCAAACAAATGTTAAAAATGAAATTTGGAGTAATAATCACGCCTGTAGATAACCAAAGCAAAAGCTCTGAGAAGTGCGGACTCCTCCATTCATCTCAGTGGGCATTAACACTTAGGATTTGATAGCTACAAACACAATCCCATGTCCTCTAACTAGTTGTGTTTCAATTTCTGCAGTTAAGTTAATGTCAAATACAAATTTTGCAGGATATTGAAAATTCTAAATATGAGGGTAGGCATAAAACAGATTGAATTTGATAGGGATCAGAAGGCAATTTTTTACAGTTAGGGTGGCCAAAATCTGGAACCAACTTCCCAGGGAAGTGGTCCTTGCCCCTACCTTGGGCAAATTCAAGTGGAGGTTGGATGATCACCTGTCTGGGGTCTTGTGAACCCAGCATTCATTCCTGCCTGTGGCAGGGGGTCAGGCTAGATGATCTGCTCAGGTCCCTCCTGACCCTAGCTACTATGAAACTATGAGTTCAAAATTACACAAAGAACACTATTCTGACTGGGCTAGATTTATGGAGGTACCTAATTCTGAGATCCCTGGTGTACAATATATTTTTAAAATGGATGGACACCTATGCAGTATGAATACAGAAAGACCTGCCCCTAATGTACTATAACTTGAGTTCCATGCTCCACAGAACTACAAATGTTTTGCACTCTATTCTACTCCTCTGTCTTCAAGGTGGTGTTGTAGCAGGTGATCAAAGTATGAAAGAGTTCCATTTATTTTTTTTTTCCAAGACAGATGGAAAAATCGTAGCACCAGGTAACAGATAAAATTATCAGCAAATAGGAACAGCACAGCTCAAATAGAAATTTAAATATAATTTTTAAATGATCTATTTGGTGGGCTAACAGGAACAGGATGCGTTTTAACACGGACAAGTGCAGGGTGCTGCACTTGGGCAGTAGGAACCAGCGGCACACTTATACAATGGGGAACTCCTTACTCGAGAGCACGGAGGCAGAAAGGGATCTTGGAGTCATTATTGACTCCAAGATGAACATGGGCCGACAATGCGAGGTCATGGTTGGCAAGGCTAACCGGACCTTGTCGTGCATCCACAGGTGCATCTCGAGTAGAGCCAAAGAGGTGATCCTCCCCCTCTATGCGACACTGGTCAGGCCACAGCTGGAGTATTGTGTCCAGTTCTGTGCGCCCCAGTTCAAGAGGGATGTGGACAATATGGAGAGGGTCCAGAGGAGGGCCACCCGCATGATCCAGGGACAACAGGGCAGACTCTACAGTGAGAGACTGCGGGACCTGAACCTATTCAGCCTCCACAAGAGAAGGCTAAGGGGGGACCTGGTGACTGTCTATAGACTCACTAGGGGGGACCAGAGGGGTTTGGGGGAGACGCTGTTTCCCCTAGCGCCCGCTGGCATAACAAGGAGAAATGGGCACAAGCTGTTGGAGAGGAGGTATAGATTGAACATCCGCAAAAACTACTTCACCGTTAGGGCGGCTAGGAGCTGGAACCAACTTCCAAGGGAAGTGGTGCTGGCCCCTACCCTGGGGGTCTTTAAGAAGAGGCTGGATGCCCACCTAGCTGGACTCGTTTGAGTCCCATTTCTCTTTTTGGGGTTTTTGTTGTTCTCCCGCCCTGGCGGGGGGTCGGGCTAGAAGATCTACTAGGTCCCTTCCGACCCTTAATCTATGAATCTATGAATCTATGAATATTTAACCTCCTCTAATTACATCAGTTAAATGGTTAACTGATAACATGGCAGCTCTGACAAAGCTCCTGCTGGGAGCCACTTACAGAGCCCTTTGACTGGGGGTGGGTGGGAAGAGATAGGTACAGAACAGGCAGACAACACAGAGCAAAAGCCCCGTACTGGGACGGAGGAAGCACCTATGAACAACCACCTAATAGCTTAATTGACAAGTCGTTAGGCCATCCACTGTTTTCCTCTTCAACCTCATGGGCTATAGATACTAGTTCCCCTCACCCCTTTCACTTCTCCAGTTCCTGCCTGCCTTGCCACTTTCTGGTTCCTGCTGCAGCACTGTGTGGTTTCCCCTTTTCTCCCCCTTCCCTGCCAGACTGTGCCCCACTCCACCTCACCCCACACTACACGAGAACTGGTTATCACTGGGCTTATTGGTTAAATGATTAACAGTTTAATCGTTCGTGTTCCTAAGCCCAACAAGCCTCTTAAAGTGAACTACACAACCTATAGTTAACTGGCTCTGCAACTTTTTCCAGGACAAACTTGGAAGTAAAGAAATTAACAGAAAACAGCATGATTTAGTGGTGTGCTCTTAAAGCCAAATTCTTACCCCACCCTCCACATAGATTTATAGCTCTGACAGAATTAGAACCAGGGTCATCTGAGACTCCTTGTGCATTCACACTATGGAGATTTGCAGCAGCATTAGAATGGCCACTGGACTACCTTTAAGACAGAAATGACAATGCTGAAGGAAATAAATGACTGCTGAAAAAATGAACTGATTTGTTGCTCCACGATGTAGCACGGAAAGGAAAGATTCACTCTTACCAGCCCAAATGGGCTGTGAGCCAGAAAGGGAATTTAAGTCTTACCGATCAACCAGCAGTATGTGTACTGTTTTTATTATAGTCATTTCTAGCAGCAGCAATAATTTTTCTCCCTCTCTGCTTTATTAAATAACCCTCTTAAACCATGCAGAGTAGTCTCAATCAGTAACAGTACAGCTACTTCAAGTACAGTATTGCTTTTGCTTCTTTGTGTCATTTGACTATTTGTGTAATGAAACCACTCATCTGATTTTTGCTATTTTCAGTAAATTCTGAGTCCAGTGGCACTTTACTCCAAGTTCCCTCTTTTATGTTGCTACCAATTTTATCCTGTGTTGACCTTTTTTCAATTTCCACATAATAAGACTTTTGAACTTTAAATATTCCCATACAATGTTTTTCTCATTTCTAAACATATCATTTAGGTTCTCTTCCCATTGCCAAAATGAATTCCAACAACTGCTTAAATTCTAGCAAACACAAACACGCTAGTTTGGGAGTGTCGTCTTTCATCTTACAATCTTTTCTAATCCCTGGACAAGCCCAGAAATCTCATTTCTTCCAACACATAAAAAAATGTCTACTACTTTTCTGTAGAGGTGATCCCACAGAAACTTCCTGGACCAAGCTGTCCTCCAAAAAGACTCAGTGATGCTATTTCATTTTTTCTCTTCCTCCTAATTAGATTGCGTTTATTGCAAGCTTTTGAGTGTTTTAGTTACATATTTTGGACTAAAGTACATTACTTGTGGAGCAATTGGGGCAAAACTTACTGCTTATATCTTGCTGTGCATGTTTTTTCTTCTAGCTGCAAGCTGTTCCTGCTTCATAGCAAAAATCAAGTCTTTGATGGCTGTTTCCTTACCTTGTCATTTAAGACTGGTATTCTAAGAATCCAATATTTTTTCAGTAACCCAGATGTACAAAATTGATTTCTGTCAATAGGTAATTCATTAGCCTTACTATTTCATGTTTATTTAGCCTTATGACTGGTGTGAAAAAATAAATAAATCAATAGTTGGCCTTTGTATCTCACCCCCAAATTCAGTATCATGGCTAAGAACACTACTATTCTGCTCTTCAAGAACCTGATAGCTTCCCCTTTCCTGCCCATTTCTATATGAAGAATTGCCATCCACCTCTTCCCATTTACTGGAACTTTGCATGGACATGTACTTGTTGTAGATGCAGATAATTTTTCTATGTGAGGAAAACTTTGTACCCCTTTAATGCCAATATCCAATTCTCTCTTGTTCTCATTCTCTCCACTCTATTCCCGCTACAGTCAAGTTTAAAAACTTCAAGTGTTCTTCACATTACCTAACAACTTCCTAACAATGAAACGTCAACATAATTATTTAGTCTGATTTTAACAGGTTTATAAGCAGAACTAGCAAAGCCAGTGAAAATTCATGACATTTAATATTTTTATGAATATCACAAACATTTACATTATTTTACCTGGTTTTCTTATGACAGTTCTTTTTGCTAGCTGTTTCCTTTTCAGATTTTTCCTTTTCTACTTTGTCTTTTTTCTCTTTCTTTGATTGTGTAGGGGGCACAAACTGTTGGGTAACTTGTTGTGCAACCAGCTGAGAGACAGGTCGAGGTTTCCTGTGTGCACATATATATTACTTCAGTTTTATAACATCAGTCTTATACTCTCTTTGTTTCAGTTATAAAAGCAACAATATCCAATATAAAATGCAACACTAAAACTTATCAAACAGCCAGTTTTCATAACAACAAACATACCCGATTCAGACCCAATATATGCTACCTATTAGCCTGTTGATCTATCTCCTCTTAAGCCATCTCTAAAAGAGAGACACATATTAAAGGATTTAGAGACAGGGCAACATGCCCAAAAGTGTACATATGCAGACTGTTACACACCAAGAAAGTGAGTTCACATCTTTCACAGAGAATGTCTAGACAGCTGCCCTCTTGCTTAAATTAAGAGGAGGGTCCTAGTTTGAGTACCTCTGCTTACAGTAACTGAACAATAACACTAGAGGAGAGAACTGATCTTTCAGGTAACTAGTTGCAAGCCACTGTAGGCTTTACAGAGTAAAATGAACTCCTTCAAGTCTACACAGAAATTTACTGACTGAAGTTGTGATTTATTTGCTATGATTTACAATTTATTAATTTTTTTAAAATCTGATTCTTTGTTAGAAAAAATATGACAAATGCATTGGGATGCAAGTGTTCGGATAGTGACACTCCTAAATGTGGCCATGAAAACTTCACACAAGCCATCCATCAGAATATACAGATTTATCAAAGTCAAAATGCTCTGTAAAATGAAATATTTTGATGGAACTCCCCACATTTTCAAGTTTACACTGGTTTAGAACAAAGACAATTTTGAAGTCTCAAAATCCTTTACTAAACAGAATTTCCAAAGCTCTAGGTATTCCTTAGAAATAAAAGCACAAATGATGAGCACTGTGGAACAGTATTCAGAAAATATGTTGCAATTGTTTTAATCGGTCTTTAGATTATATGGGCTTTCATGCAGATTTATAAGATGCATCTATTCTAGCCTGCAGGATCACACAAATGGCATTTGTTGCTTGGGTATAGTAGTAAGTGAAATAGCAAAAGCAGAATATCAATGTAGCTGCCCTTTAGCAAATTATAGTGTACTCAGTAATGCTTTTAACAGTTAAGGAAGTACTATCAAGTTGAGCAAGACTATAAAGTGTAGGAAAGACAGTCAGATGGAACACAGGAAAGTATGGACTGTATGGAAGTTTTACATTAAAGGCTACAAAATTGGTACTAGAGAAAAAAAATATTGCACATAAATAAATCTTAGGTTCAACCTTTAAGAGAAAAACCTTAGCTATCTCGTACCAAGTCCTGGAGTTAAAAAATCCCAATACAGCAGATACAAAACTGGCAAAAGATCAGAGGCCATCAATAGAACTACTAATAGATAATACATGGTAACTGAGAATAACTTGGTGTCTTGCCTATCAAATGAAAAAATGGTGATTTTATAAATTAACACTAATTTCTGGCAGTGTGGGAGATAATTTTGTAGTTGGAGAAATAGGAGAAAGATATCTCAGAAGCTGCTGGGCATGTCTACATATGCACTTTAATGCACATTAACATATTTCAATGTGCATTACGAAGTGTTACTAAACAAACCGTGCTCTTTAGTTAATGCACATCTTTAAGACAGGCTAGCTAATACACATTTTCCTAGTACCTCACAATGGATGTATTAAATTTAATGCGCATTAACAAAAAGGACATGCCCACTGAAGAATATGAAAGAATTCTTAGACATCTCCTTGAAGCCTTGGACTGGAAGTAATTTCAGTTCCTCACACAGGAGATTAGTTTTTACTAATAATGCTTAAAACATCCATTAAGGATGAGTATCGCATTGTATGAGGCATTGTTTTTACAATCTGAAAAGAGAGAGACAACCCTGCCCCAGAGTTGATGGGTGAGGGTCATAACAATGACAGAGAGAGAAATGAAGATCAAGGTGATGAGGAAATAAAAATCAAAATATTCAGTGTCCTCATAGTGACTGGAACCCTCACTATGCCTACCCTCTTTCCTTTACAAAGTAAGTTTGACAACAGGTCAGATATCCACCTTTACCCTGTCCACTCAAATTATATTTTGCCTCAAAAATCTGCACAACTTCCTCTGTGTAACAGACACCCACCTTACTAATAGGGGTGCACCAATAGATTTTTGGGGCCGATACCGATAGCTGATTTTTAAAGAAGCATATTGACCGATACTGATCCAATTTCTGATACCAGCCCAGAAGCTTGGAGAGAGACGTGCAGCTGGTAAGTTTGGCGTGGTGGAATGAGAGGGGGGAGGGAAGGAGCATGGTGGGGACAGATCAAGGCCCCCATGGTGAGGCTGAGGCTGGGGCAGGGACAAGTGCTGCCCAGCTGGGACAGGGCGGACACAGGACAGAGCTGTGGCTCATCCAGGGGGTACTGGGAGCGCCTGTGTCACTGCATGCTGCTCATCTGGGAGCCAGCTGTCCAGCACTTGGCCGCTCATCTGGTGGCTCCCACTGCTCATCTGGGAGGGCACGGAAGGAGGAGGTTGTGAGCCTCCTGATCTGTGTGGGGAGGAGTGGGGCAGGCCAGGAAAAGCCCCACACAGCCCTGGCCCCAGCCTGCCCCACACAGATCTGGGGGCACGCCCCCATGCCCTCCCAGATGAGCAGCGGGAGCAGCTGAACAAGTGGGCGAGCACCAGACAAGTGGCTCCTGGATAAGTAGTGCGCAGCAGCAGGAACTGCCCCCCTCCCCCACGCTCATTAGATGAGCCGCGGCTCTATCCCGCTCCAGCTGGGCAGTGCTTGCCCCAGTCCCTGCCCCACTCCTCCCTCACCATGGGGGTCTTGAACTCCTCCCCCTACGCCCTTTCCACCACACAAGATTTATCAGCTGCATGCAACTCTCCAAGATGCTAGGCTGTGCTCCTTGCTGCCTACGTGCTGTGCTGCAGCTGCGCATGCACAGACATTTATTGCCCAAATTATCAGCCACATCACGCCAATTTCAAATACAATCAAATTTCTTTATATCAGTGCTGATCCGACATCGGACCGATGTATTAGTGCACCTCTACTTACTAATTCTCAATAGAATAAGAGAAATCCTCCACCTGTATAACATGCAATACTGCATTTGGTGTCAATAATTTCTAAAGCTGTGCAACAATTAAGGCATCTACATTCCCATTAAAAGACAGCAACCATATTTACTACCAACTTTTTGCTTTTTACTTTCTAGAATACCCAGAGTTATTTCAGTTTCTTTTAACAAGTTAAGATAAAGAACTGATGTCACACTTTTTATTTATTCTTTCTAGTGGTTAGCTGTTTTCTTAGCTAGAGCTGCAATCCAATACTTTGCAGGCCATGTAGTATAAAAGATAATTTTACCGTTGATCAAGTTTTAAACCGATAACATAGCCTATGACTTATCAGTAGGTCAAGTAATGTCTTTCAAGTATAAAAAGCAACCGTGAAGAAAAATACTATAAAGCATATAAAAAGGAAAGAAGAAACCCCTTCTGCAGCAGAAAATTGGCTTCAGTCATTGCCAGAATATCCATAACACTTTAAATGATAAATTTCCAAAGGTGCAACTAGTTAAAGACTACATAGTAAGTGTCATTTTTGGGACAAGAAACATTTAGAATTTTAATATTTGTCTATTAATTTATTTTAACAACTGAGTCCCATAAGCATTGTGAACTTGTTCATTTGGACTATAAGGACAAATTCATGTTTATGGGAAAGTTTATAAAAAATAGCTTCTATTGATATTTTTATTTTCTGATTAAATTACTAGTTTGTTCTATTGTACACTCAACTCTAAAAAGGAGAAAGCTTCAAATGTTTACCAAGAGCCATCCTTACCTCCACAGCACTACTTGAGATCTGGCAACAGACCTGGTTCTCAGATCAGAGATCACCATTCAGTGAAGCACCACAAGAAGGTTGTTCAAGGAAACCAAAGTACGGATTTGTTTACATAATGCCCATGTAAAGAAATGCACGGAAGAAAAAGTGAAATTACTAATGATTGAGACAATGGCCAAATAGGCACACATGCTATTACATTGGGTAAAACTCCAAGCTCTTCACAACAGAGACCATTCATTGTGCCTCTGGGCATTCCCGTAATACCAATAATTAACTGGCTTGCCTAAGTGTTCTTTCTAGGGCTTATACATGATTGTTCTTCACAGTGGCATCAGAGCCCTTTATTGTCTCATTCTTCACCCTTCTCAGTCACTACTCCCTTGTTCATTATTAGCCATTAGTTAGGCTTACACCTAACTTCATACAGTACCTTTACCCATTAACTACTTCTCACACTGCTGTCAGGATCCCTTCAGAGACCTTTAACATGATTCTTTAAAAATGAAGAAAATAAACATTTCTGCAATGAGAATAAGAATGCTAATGCAGTGTCTGAAATATACTTTTGCTGCTTTACCTACACATCCCATTTAAAGTTAAGAATAATAATGCCACACAATGACGATGTCAAAAACTATCTAAACTCTAGCCTTCTATTACAATACAGGTGCTTTTCTTGGGGACAAGGGTGGGCCAAGGGTGTGTGTGTGTGTGTTTGAACAAACACATGCAACATTGGCATTCTCACTAAAAGCAAATACATAATGCAAGGGAGGTGGGTAAGATTGTTACATTTAATGCAAAATGCTATATATAAATACATCACGTACTGAATAAGGGGTACCTCTATAATATCCAGTTTCAGATTCTCCTTCCCCTAGCCATTCTTTGCTTCCCTCCTTTCTACCCTTACTTTCCCCCCAAAATTCTTGAGCTTCCAAGATGAGCTTGCAGCTTCCAACATGAGCTAACAGCTTGCAGCTGTTAACCAGGGAGGACTGTGATGGCTGCAAAGGGTACTAGCTTTCTAAGCACTTGTATGTCCTACGACGAAGAACGGATACATCTTAATGACCATCTTAAACATAAATATGCTAAACGTACTTCTAAGATGGTCGGTAACTTTTCATAAGAATAGTTGATGGGCATTGGAAACAATGCCAAAATAGTGGATGGGCATTAGAAGATATTGTCACCTAACGTATCCAGTAGAAGCTGTTATCAGAAATAACAGGTCTATACATCTTGAAGAATTCACGATGTGTAATGCAACCGGGGATCCAGATTGGTATGCATTGTGAGTACACCATTACATTCTATTTCTTTCTTTTTTTGATGAAGTAGTAGTAATGGTGATTTCCTCAAATCATCATCTGTGTGCACATATCACTTGTGTACTAAAAAGCCCACAGGAACAAAATCTTAGTCCTGAGAAATCATATAAACTCCACAAGACTTTAGGGGTGTGTCTACACAAAACGTTTACTGCAGTTGCCTAATTAGCTCCACAGTAAACATCTTGGCATCTATACACACAGCCCCATTAGGCTGGAGTAAACTAATTACACTGAAGTATTTACAAGTACTATCCTGCTGTAGAGGTTCTTCTGTACTCTACAGCAGCATACATGTAGATGCTGGCTGGCTGAGGCATGAGGGTGCTTCAGTATGGGGGCAGCCTGCCAGCTAGCCCTATACTGGAGTACCCTCGCACCCCAGCCAGCCCCTTTGCAGCATGTTGAGCTGTGGGGAGAGCAACCCTAGGCTGGCCCCCAGTGCTCCTGACCCAGCTCAAGGTGCTACGGTCCCAGGCATTTTGCATTCCTTGCATTTTGCATTCCTTGCATTTTGCATTCCCCTAGGGTGCCTGTGTAGATGCACCCTAGGGGAAAGAAGAATCATGTACTCTTTCTGTACTAAATTTTACTGTATTTTAAAGACCAACTAGTGAGGGGATTCTCAACAATGGGCTACCTCATGAAATTCAATCTCCTTGCACCTTTTGGTTCAATTTGAACGTAGTGGTTTTTATGTTTTCACTCCTAGGTAAGACAGGCCCGTCTACTTCAAAGAGCAGGAGTGCCAAGTATGGAACATGACATATTTAGTTCATGCTATCTTATATAAAGGAGTGTTCTAATAGCCAGCAGCCATTAACAAGATAAAGCCACTAGAGCTCTGGCCTAATGTACTTCATCTTTTCTGTGTTTCCAGTGGCCTTACTTTCCTCATCTTTTCTGCTATAACTGAGGAACACAAACAAGCAATGTCTATCTATTAATAAATAACATGTTATGATGTCGGGTTTTAATGAAAGAATGTATTCAAATTCAGCTCATCCTTGGGGCTCCTGATGTACTGCTAGCACAGTTCTCCATATCATGAAGTTTGGGAAGCCATGGCCTAGATATGCCACTGCCTCTAGAATCTAGGTCACATAGGGAGCTAGTATATAGTGCTGATAAAACATAATAGATCACCTTCTAGAGTTAGAACCAATTCAACTCATTCAATTTTCAGAGAGCCAGCCTTTGAGTCACAAAGCAAACAAGTTGCTCATGTAAAGAGACCGAAGTAACTACTAAATACCTGAGCTATTCTTGACTGAAACAGTGCCAGTTTTCAGACCAATATGTTTTCATTAGGAAAAAAATGCAGTTCACAAGCAAAACCCAGAGCAAAATACTGTTGGAGAACTCTCCAAACTTCCTTTTTTCATCTTCTACCCTTAAGCAGACTCCAAGTCGCATGCATTTTTTATTCCTCACTGCTTACTTGGAAACATTTCTCCTTCCTCCACTGTAAACGCCCATCACTTTTTGACAAGTGGATTTGTAAAGTAAGAAGGGTTTTATCCTCCATTGCCTTTAATCTCTTATAAGACCTGAAAAAAAATGCCTTGCATTCGAAAGCTTGTTGAACTTTATCCCACCCTTGCAGTTGGTCCAATAAAAGATCGCACCCACAAAAATTCTTGCTTTTCACATAATTCCTGGACCATCACAGCTACAACATCACTTTAACACCACCATCTAAGAATCACCGATACAAATTTTGCCCCTGCCAGAAACCTCTTTTTATTCATAATATCACAACTTTTTTTTTTTGAGGTATGATTATCTAAATATCTGATATAGAAACCATTACACCAGATGTGTGCCTTGGTTATCAGGATCAGTAGGTGGATGAACCTTTACTTTAAGCTTTCAAATTAACCCCTTTTTTATGAACCAGAAAAAATGGCTAAATATCTCCCATTTGAAAGAGAATCACTTCTATAATATAAAGCAGTATTCCTATAAAATGAAATGTGTAGTGAGTAGTTCTCAGTATAAATTTCAGGACTTCTTTGACTTCACACCATTCCTGTAGGTAATTATCAGCAGCTGATGATGGTCAAAAGGCCAATTTCTGTCAAAGATAAGATATTCAGCTGTATGCTCATCCAGTTCATCAGCATTCTGAAGTAGATTTCACTCTTGTAGGGTTTTGTCAAGGATTAATATTAATAGCACTATATCTCCAAAAGGCTTGTTTTGCAAGTTTATAATCCATTCAGACAACTTCTCTGGTCAAACTTTGGCAAGTTTACTGCTAATATAATATAACTAAAATCCACTTACAAATACTGTTTTTACTTGAACATAAGACAACCCTGATCATAAGATGAGCAACAAATAATTAGATTCAATTTCCCAGGTATAGAATCTAAGCATTGGAGGTCTGCCTTGAATCTGTCTCCCTCCCATTGCTACAACAAGGAAAATAAATCTGGAGGGTCAGGTAGCCCCCCTGCTCTCTACACCCATAACTTGTCCCCTGCAGCCCCTTCCTCTCTTCCTTACCATCAAACCCTGCTCTCCTTCAGCACATGTAAGTAAGAAACAAAATTGAAAATATTGACCTAAAAATAAACATCTAATAACTCACATATACAGAAATTAATACAGGTATCCACTGACTTAATTCATCCAAAATTGATGCATTTTAATTGACTTGAAACTGCTGCAAGTTTTAGCACAGATGCATTTAAGTATCACTCCTGCTCTTGTATATAGTACAAACTATGCTAAATTAGTCAAATCAGTTCCAAATTCCATCCACTAATTACAGCTCAGTCAGGTCCATGTGGCACTACCACCAGCACTAGCACCACCTTACACCCCAGACTCTGCAGCTTGGGGCTTAAATACTCCCAAAGCCTAGAGGTCTTGGGGTTCAAATGCCCCCAAGTCTCACTTGCCCTTAGCCCAGGGGTTGGCAATTATTTTGGCTGGAAGGCCGCTTGAAAAGTTTTGGTGAGCTGTCAAAGGCTGCATGGGTAGCCCTTCCCCCTGCCTCCTGGTCACTATCCTGGGACCAGAAATCCCACCCCTAACCCCTGACCTTTACCATCAGAACAGTAAAATATATTCTTATTCTTGTATAGGGGATGTGTCGTTGGGGAGTGGGGGTGTGTATGTGTGGGTTTGGGTATGGCGAGTAGGCTGTGGGGTATGTTGTTGGGGTGGGAGGATGTGGGTGTGGGTATGGTAGGGGTGGGAGAGTAGGACTCTACGTAGAGGATTTGGGAGGGTGTGGGTGCATTTGGGGGCATGGTAAGGGGTGGGGTGTGTGGTGTTATGGTGGAAGGGTGTGGGACTGTGTTGGGGAGCTATGGTATGATATGGAGTTATGAGAGGAGGGAGTATGTGGGGACTGTGGAAACTTGTGTGTGTTGAGGGTATGGTGGGAGGTGGGAAGCCAGCCCTGCCCATCCCGTCTCAACTGCAGCGCCCAGTTCTCAGCTGCATGGCCGGGAACCACATGGTGTGGCACAGGGCCAGGCCAGCTTGGCCCGGCACAATGTGGTTCCAGCTGCAAAGCTGGAGACCACATGGCTTGGCACAGAACTAGCCTGGGCATGGTGTGCAGTTCCTGGCTGCAAGGCCAGGAGCCACGTGGCATGGCATGGAACCAGCTTGGCATGGCCTTTCCCCTCCATGCCACACCATGTGGGTCCTGCTATTGGAGTGGAGAACCATGTGCTGCAGCCAGGATGATCCAGGCCCAGCTGGCTCCATGCCACACCATGTGGTCCAAGCCTTGCAGCCGGGAATTGCACACCACAGCCAGGACAGACGAACAGTTCTATGTCATGCTGTGCGGTTCCCAGCTTTGTGGCCAGAACTGTGTTGTGCCAGGCCAGGCTGTGTTGGCTGAGGCCGGTGGGGCTGTTCTGCTTCCCTTGCCTGCAGATGCAGCTTCTGCTTCCACTGCCCCTGCCACACCGCTGTGGGTGAGTGGGCAGGTAGCTTCAGCAGGAAGCTCCTACCCAGTGCATGGAGCTCTGGCTCCAGCTCCCGGCCACCTTCCACCTGCTCGGCTTGATGAGCAGCCCCTGTGGGTGGCTGAAGCAGGTGGAAGGCGGACAGGAGCTGGAGCTGAATCTCCATCTCCATGCGCAGGGCAGGAGCTGTCTGCTGAAGATTCTCCCCACCTAGAGAGGCTCAGCAGGAGCAGGAGCTACAGCGGGAAGCAAGAGGAGCAGAACAGCCCCACCAGCCCCAGCCAGCACATGCAGCTTCCAATGGGGCGGTTCCCACTGTGACTAGCCAGGTGCTGCTGTGCTCCCCTTGCCTCCAGCTGC